TGAAACCTTTTACAACCGAAATGAAACTTTTTGCAAATCAAATGAAACTTTTAGATTTTTAGAAGGAAAAATAACAAAACATTTTTATTTTTAGTACGTTTAAAATTAAATTAACTAATTATAACTAATATATAGTTAAAGAGTAATTTTTATTGATTATTAATATTTATGTTTTTATAAAATTTTTTCTTAAAGCTTCCATAATACACAAGTGTAGATGCAGAAAGATTGAAAAAAGTTTTTCAAGGTATTTTTTTCAAAGGACCCGAATTAGGTATCTTTTTATAATCTCCTCTATGGAAAGGAGGATATATTAAATTTGTCATTCGGTTTGTAACACCTATAAATATTCGTCGTAGACCCCATAAAGAATATACAATCATGATCATAGTTGATTTAATGATTTCCACTTATCTGTCTTTTGAAGTCACGACTGCTCTATCTCCATAATCAATAAAGCTGCGAAGCGGGAATCCTTTATTAGGTAAGATTAATAGTATACTATAACTATAAAAAATTGTGGTAAAGCTTAATTTCACATTTCAGTCCTGGCCATACCTATAAAGGGCAAAATTTGTTTAAATTTCTCTTTAGATATTTATAATCAATAAAAAATCCTCTTTGTCAATATATTAGTTATATTATTATTAATTATTAATTGATTTCATTTAAAAACTACTAAAAATAAAAATATTTTGTTATTTTTCCTTCTATAAATTTAAAAGTTTCATTTGATTTGCAAAAAGTTTCATTTCGGTTGCAAATGGTTTCATTTTGGTTGCAAAAGGTTTCATTTCCGCTGCAAACGGTTTCATTTCCACTGCAAAAGGTTTCATTTCCACTGCAAAAGGTTTCAATTCCACTGCAAAAGGTTTCATTTCCGCTGCAAAAAGTTTCATTTGAATTGCAAAAGGTTTCATTTAATCTGAAAATGCTATATGTGGTCTTCCTAGATCTGGAACCAATATTTTCCAAAGACCTATAATCTCTCAGAAGTGGCAAAAGATTAACATTTATTATTGGTTTTTGACTGAAACGCATCTATATGAGATACAGACATTTGACTATATTCGTAAACGAAATACTCAGAAGTGCGTCTTTCCTGTATTTGTGAATTCTCGAAAAAGTCTCTGGAATGGACATTTTCGTATTTTGTCTACAAAAGTTGGCAAACTATTTCACACATTGAATATTTTTGGATGGCCATCCAAAACTGCTTGGCTTTTGCAATGTCCGGTAACCCCCTTTCAATTGTGCGTGAGGATCGGGCGATAATTACGACCTGCCGACAATTTTGCAGTTTTTTGGTCCATTTCAACCCCTAAATATATGGCGATCATCTCCAAAAAGAGTAGGCATCTATTCTGACCCTCATCTTATCCCCATGCAAAATTTCGTAAGGATCGGGCCATAAATGCGATCTGTATATGATATCCTGATATCCTAACTACTTAGTTTTGTTAGCTGTAGAAATATTACCAAATGTTTAATTCAAAATGAAAATATGCCAAAAATATGACAAATTTGAAAAAATATGAGAAAATTTTACGAAATCAATATTTTCATCTTTAGAGAGATATTTTTATGCGATTTTTTTAGACGTTTTTTCTTTCCTGCCAAGAGGCCATTCTGAATTAATGAGAACTGTCGAAATCAGTTCAGGCGTTCTCGACATATAAGAGATCTTTCAAGCATATCTTCTTTGATAGACATATATATCGCACATATTTTGCTATATATCCGATTTGTTGGATGTTAACATCAATGTAAAGGTCAGAAGTAACCTTGTCATGGCTTTGTGATTTCGCCGGGATTTAAAATATTCGCGGTTTAATGAAAAATTTTGAATTTTTTCAACACAAAATATATGGTCTATTTTACCCGCTAAATATAGGCTTCTTCCCCGTCCTAAACTCTAGCTACATGCGAAATTCCGCGTCGATTGGTCTATAATTGCGACCTGTATAACTACTGCAAAATCCGACATTTTTTCAGTATTTGGTCCATTTCAACCCCTAAACATTTGGCGATCATCTCAAAAAGAAATAGGGTTCTATTCTGGCCCAACCCCGACCTCCATTCCAAATTTCGTGAAGATCGGGTTATAATTGCGACCTGTAGAGTGATTACAAATTAACATGGACAGACGGACAGACGGACAGACGGACGGACGGACATACATAGCTAGATCGACTCAGCTCGGCGAGCTAGGAAGATCCATATATACTTTCCTATATGGGAATCCAATATTTCGAGGTGTTACATAAATTCTGGCCCAATCAAACTTATAATACCCCCAACACATAGTGTTGTAGGGTATAATAAATAAATAAATAAATAAATAAATAAAATTTGTTAAAAATTCTGAAAAATCATCAAAATGGCGAATACAGGGACCGTTATATCGGGGCCATTAGGACACATGGACCCATTAGGAACTTCAAATCTAATCATCAAAATACCGAATATCGGGAGGTACCGTTAATCAAAATATGGAATATAGGGAGGTACCGTTATATGGGGGATATAAGAAGACGTGGACCTACATACAAAATTTTTAGGCATAGGCTGTGGTACCCATTACGAACTTCGAATACAAAATTTGAAACAATTCCGGTTAATAATGTCGTTCAAATCGTCAAAATACCGAATATCGGGAGGTACCGTTATATGGGGGCTATACGATATCGTGGACCTATACAGAAAATACTCTTCCAGGAGGTAGAGTACACAGAAGGAACTCGCTGTGAATTTTCAGACAATTCCATTAAAAATTTGGTTACAATCATCAAAATACGTAATATCGGGGGTACAAAAAAAAAAAAAAAAAAAAAAAAAAAAAATTAGCTATCTATCTTAATTCGATTTGACTCTAGCGTGATTACAACAGACGGACAGACGAACGGAGAGTGATGAATCGTCTTAAAATTTTACGCTAATCGAGAATATATATACTTTGCTAGGTCTACAATTATTATTTCGATAAGTTAGAAACGGAATGACAAACATAATACAGGGCGAGATAAAAAACTGCAACAAAGTCAAACGCCATAATTTTAAAATTTTTTAAAATGAAATGAAAGCAAAATATGTCGGAAATAGCATACAATTTTAGAATAACTTTAGATTTGTTCGAATTGGTCACCCTTGCCACGAATTATTGGTATCCGCAGATCTTGGTGGCCATTATGCGCCAAAAATGAAGCGAGGAACCTCTTGGCTGGCGCGTGTTAAGTGCGATGGTTCTGAGTCCTGATGGAATGTCCAAGGTATGCGGCCAAAATGTTTGCATGCCCAAGGCTTTAATACACCCTCTACAATACTTTCGCGAAAATATTCGGCATTTATTCTGATGCCACGGCCGATTAATAGGAGCGGAGAGCGACCATCGGCTGTTATGGCGGCCCACACTATCACCATGGCCGGCGCTTGAGTTCTGGTGGCCAACCGAAGGTGCACATTTTCAGCTGACATCTTTGGCAAGTAAACACGATCATTTTGTTTGTTTACAAACTGTTGGACAACGAATGTTTTCCCATCGGTGACGGAGAAAACCGAATTCGGCAGTTCACCACTTTCGGCCAAGCGAAGTAACTCTTTACCTCTTTTGAGTCTATTTTTTTTCTTTTGCGGTGTTAGTTCTTGTACTTTTAGGAATTTCAATGGCTTTACCCCGAGCTCATTTTTCGATATAAGCCGAATGAAATAGTGCGATATGTTCAGCTCACGAGCTATTTTTCGGCCACGGCTTCATTACTTTTCGAACCATTTCTGCTGATGTTTCTGTTTTCTTCCGCCTACTTCCTTGACGTCGGCTAGGCTACCAATATCACGGTAACGAGCGATGGTACGAGACACAAAAGATTTATTCACATTTAAATGCTGGAGTTCTCTAACGATAGCCATTTGTGGTTTTCCAGCCAAATATAAAGAAATCACACTATCACACGCTTGAATAAATCCAGAATAATTTTTTTTCTGGAAAATTCTCACCAAAATGCTTTTGTACGCTTGTAAACAATATAATGAACTAACACTGGAATATTTTTAACAGCTGTCAAACGGAGTGGCTTAGAAATTACAGTGTCTGAAGTTTGTTGCAGGTTTTTCATCTCACCTTGTATATGGGACCTATATCCAAATCTGAACCTATCTTTTTAAAATTTGGCAGAGTCATATCCGAGCTCTATAATATATCTGGGACCATATCACTGTTGGCTTGTGAGGGACTTTAAACATATATATCGGAGCTATAGCTATATCTAAACCGATTTACACTAAATTTGAGGTACCGTTTTATAGGATGAATTCAGTCGTAATTGCCAAAATCTGGTCCATTTAGGCTGATATTGGCCATTTTGTGCACAATAAACCTGACATCGTATGGGAGCTATAATCTGAACCGATCTCGATCAAATTAGACAGAGGTATTTTCGAGCAGTATCTGATGTCCGGTACCAAATATCATTCTTCTGGGGTACGTATTGTGCATGTGAGGGACTTACCCTCATTCTAAATCAGATGAAACCAATGCATGGAAGCTATAGCTATATTTGAACCGAACTGACATGCATAAATCGACTCAGGAAGTGATTCTATGAAGATCCTCAAAAGTAACTATGGGTCTATCTCGCTTCCTTCTCCATGTTACAAACAAATGCACAAAGACATAATAGCTTACCACTGTGAAGAAATAAAACACATTCTTGTTAAAAACTTGACCATATTCTGTAATTTATTTTTTCGATAACAAAAATTTATCGATATTCGAGATTCAAAATAAATATGACGCTTGTATTGCAACTTAGAAAAAAATATTTGTTTTCTCTGTTTTTTTTTTCTTTCATTTTTTACATAAATAACAAAAATAAAATACTTTCGATTAATGAGTGAGTATACGACGACATGACATAACTGGATAATTTTGGCGAGAGAGAGAGCGCAATTGAGATGACTAATACAACTAAAGAAGTAAAATGACTTATAATTAAAAATAAACATAATTATCCAATAAAAACATTTGTGCTTCGAGAAAGATAAATACAAAAACAAAAAAATAAAATCTCATCGTTTTTTTCTTCGCTCTTCATTCATTCATTCTTTCATTAGATAACTATTGTTGTTGTTATTTGCGGTGATTGAGTGGGTGGGTGTGTGTGTGTGAGTGTTAGTGAGTGACATGACTATTATTATTGCCTTTCATTTCTATTTCATTTCACCGCTAAATGACGATAAATGTTCTCCATCATCTTCTGAGCCATCTTCATCTTGTGTCGGCTGACTCAAGGATAACTTCTCAAATTTGGGCATTGCGGCCAGTTTCTGTTTGCCACCAAAGACATCAATGAATTCCGCATCCGGATTTATTGGGAGATCGGGTGCATCATTAACGGCAATGTCATTGGACAAATCAACTGGTTCCACGTCATAGACATCGATGTCATTGCTTAAGTCATTATTTTCTTTATTCGGTGCTGAGCCCCACTCATCATAGAATGTGGGATGCATGTCGGCGGCCTCATCCTCATCGTCGGAGGAGGAGGAAATATCTTCACGGGGCTTGGTGCGTATGGCAGCAGAAGCGCCGGCATCATAATTGGAGTGTTTCACATCTTCGTCATCCTCGTCATCGCTGCTGTCGAATTCATTCCGTCTATCCGAAAACTCTTCAGCATTATTCAAGGCGGACGATTCATTTAAGTTGTCATTTACATCCTCGGCATCCTCATTATTTTCAATTGTTGCACCGCCGCCATTCATCGATGATGACGACATATTGGTTTCAAATTCGTTATTTCCGTTTCCGTCGTTGTTATTTTCGTTGGCATTCAACTCTTCTTCTGCCCCAGCCTCCACCTCGTCGACACTGTTGTCTACAACGAAATTCAATTCTTCAGCATTGGTTGGCAACATTGTTGTCTCTTCCGAGTCGATGTCTTCCTTTAAGGATGTTACTGTTGTTGCTGCTGGTGTTTCGACAATGTTTTCCTTCGAGTGCTGTGTCGTGGAAGGGGGATGCAAGTGCAAGGTGCCAGAGGCGAATATGTAAGAAATTGGTGCATTATTGAAGTGGAGTGCAATTATTATTATTTTTATGTTGCGACGCAGAAGTTTGGAAGTAAATGTGGATGCAGATGTTGTTGTTTTGTTTTGTGACACAACAAAACCAATTGCATTATTTGAGAGTATCGTGGCGGGATTCCACCGTCACAGTGCAAATTATTGAATTTTTAGTTGGAGGTGTTGCAAATATGAAAAAAAAGAAGAAAAAAAAAAGAAAATAAAAGTTTAATGAGTGCAAAAAAAAAAAAATACATTTAGAAAGGGAAAATTAATAATTTTTATTTATAAATAGAAAATATTCATGGCCTAATGTGTCCTTAGATTTTTTACAAAAATATTTTTTGCAAAACTATATTTTTAGTAATTTATGTAGCAAAGTAGAGTCTTTTAAAAACCTCGTTCTGATGAGGAATAAGGGGTAATAAAGCGTGGGTAACTTTACCTTTTTAATATAAACCAGTAAGGAAAGTCTTAAAGTCGGGTGGGGCCTACTTTATGATACCCTACACCACTTTTCTAATTTAGTAGAGCTCCACATGACAATTAAAAGTTTTTATGGGAGAATTCAATCATACACGCTATGCTTATAATTATAATTTAAAATTCAAAGGACTAAATATGCCGAAGCATTTGTATCTTTTAAATTCGGACTTGTATTGCCCATTTAGTATATATGGGAGCTATATCCAAATCTGAACCGATCTTGATAAAATTTAACAAAGATATTTCTGAGCTGTATTCCCTATATTTTCCTAAATATTGTTGTTACAGAGTGCATATTACGGCTGCGGAAGACAAAAATAACAAATGGGAAGAAAAATATATATGGGAGCTATAGCTATATCTGAACCGATCTTCACCAAATTTGACATACTAGCTTCTAGACTCAATTCGGTCGTAAGTGCCAAATTATATCCCATTTGGACAAAAATTAGACGTTTGGTGCACAATAAAACCTAAATCAGACGAAGTTATATATGGGAGCTATATACAAATCTGAACCGATCTCGATAAAATTTAGCAAATGTATTTCTGAGCTGTATTGTATACAGAGTGCATATATATATATATATATAGAGATGTATTGTATACAGAGTGCATATTACGGCTGCGGAGGACAAAAATAACAAATCCGATGAACAATATATATGGGAGTTATAGCTATATCTGAACCGATTTCGATCAAATTTGGCATACTTATTTTCAGGCCTAATTTGGTTGTATGTGCCAAATTCCATAATATTCGGGCTGATATTACACATTTGGTGCACAATAAAAGGCTAATCGGACGAAGATATATATGGGAGCTAAATCTAATTTTTTACCGATTATCTCCAATTTCAATAGGGTTCGTCCTTGGGCCAAACAAATGATCTGTGCAAAATTTCATCTGGATCGGGCAATAAATGCGAACTGTACTTTGTTTACAAAAATACATGGACAGACGGACGGACATGCATAAATCGACTCAGAATGTGATTCTATGCCGATCATCAAAAGGAACTTGTGGTGTAGGGTATAAAAATTTAAGAAAGCATATTTGATGCATATTTTCTCGTTTTTTGTAAAAAAGTTTACTTTTTTCGGGTTAGCCTTACAGAGACCTTATAAAAAAGTCTATATCGAAATGTATAGTCATTACACAGGGTGAGATGCAGAAACTGAAACCAACTTCAGACTGCTGTCATTTCCAAGCCACTCGGCCGACAGCTGTTAAAATTATTCCAGTGACAGCTAATTATTAGTGTGATTCCTTTATATTTGGCTATCATTAGAGCACTCCAGCATTTAAATGTGAATAAATCTTTTGTGTCTCGTACCATCGCTCGTTACTCGGTCGGTGATACTGGTAGCGTAGCCCGACGTCAAGAAAATGGACGGAAACAAGCAGCAACATCAGCAGAAATGGTTCAAAAAGTAAAGAAACGACTTGTGAGCTGAGCATATCGCAAAATTCCATTTGGCAAATATTGGAAAATGAACTCGTAGTAAAGCCATTGAAATTCCAAAAAAGTGTCAGAACTTACACCGCAACAGAAAGAAAATAGACTCAAAAGAGCTAAAGAGTTGCTTCGCTTGGCCGAAAGTGTTGAACTGCCGAATTTGGTTTTCTCCGATGAGAAAACATTCGTTGCCCAGCAGTTTGTAAACAAACAAAATTATCGTGTTTACTTGCCAAAGAGGTCAGCTGAAAATATGCACCCTTGGTTGGCCACCAGAATTCAAGCGCCGGCCATGGTGGTGATGGTGTGTGCCGCCATAACAGCCGATGGTCGCTCTCTGCTCGTATTAATCGACCGTGGCTCAGAAAAAATGCCGAGTATTTTCGCGAAGTATTCTGGAGGCTGTATTAAAGCATTGCGCACGCAAACATTTTGGCCGCAGACATTGGATATTCCAACAGGACTCAGGACCATCGCACTAATTCCCAGCGCAAAATGGCCACAAAAATCTCCGGATAATAATCCCTTGGACTATTGTGTCTGGAGTATTTTGGAAAGCAATGTTGGCATAGCCGCAGAGCAACATTCGGGCAGCAAGTCCATAATTCGTGCCAAGTGTGACCAATTCGAACAAATCTAGAGTTATTCTAAAATTTGATGCTGTTTCCGATATTTTTGCTTTCATCCAATTAAGATTAAACAAGAAAATGTAAAAATTATGACGTTCGACTTTGTTGCAGTTTTTAATCTCACCCTGCTTATATATATTTAGTATTTTGATGATCTTCGCCAAATTCTTTTTTGCACAGATTTGTCTTATATTTGGTATTTGTAGGCCATAATGGGTTGTAGCGTCGGTGGCGTAACATAGTATATATAGGTCCACATTTTGGCATAGCCCCCATATAACGCTACCTCCCGATATTCGGTATTTTGATTATTTTTGCCACATTTGTCCACGGATTTGTCTAAATATTGGTATTTGTAGTTTTTAATGGGTTCTCGCTCCAGTGGCAGAACTGGATCCATATTTTCCCATTGCCGCCATATAACGGTACCCATCGATATCCGATATTACTAGTCCCATTTACCCACATAATTGTTATAAATTTGGTATTTTAGAAGATTTGATATATGACAATCCTTGAAGTATATAATTGCCTATAGAGGTTCTCGTTTTGGTATGGCACCATATAACGGCCTCACTCACTGTATGGGTTTTTGATAAATTTAACTGCATTATGCAAACGGTCTCAATGTTAATTGAATATTAAAGTGAAACACACTTGAATTCAGATACTTTTATATAAAAATGTTTCCTTTACCCTAAGGTGGAGGATGTTAAAAGTTCAGAAGGGCCGAACTTAATTTTGTTTTTACATATTTATAATTAAATTTTTTAAGCGCCCTGTTCTTCATCCAACTCCTGTCTTACTTTCCAACTGAGAAGAACAAATATTATTAAATGTATAAATAAATAAAAATTAGATGAAGAAGAGCAATTCGCAAGCATTACTAGCTAACACATCGCCTCCGTGGCGCAATTGGCTAGCGCGTTCGGCTGTTAACCGAAAGGTTGGTGGTTCGAGCCCACCCGGGGGCGCAAATTTTTTTTCTACATTTTTAAGTTTTTCCAAAGTCAACATGATTTTACTTAAAGTACACCTCTACAATGTTATTTATATTAGAGAAAACAAAAATTCAGTTGATGTTAACTGCTACTGGCTTTTGTATGGACATGTTGTTGTTTAGAATATATTTTTAATATTTTCTAAATAATATACATATTTTGAACGAAATATTATGGGTGGGAGGTACATATTCTTGCAACATTAATATGGGTAACAGTGAAAGTCCGCATTGGCACAATATTTTATTTCAGTTCACAAGTTTAGATGGGTCCTTTTGATATACATATTGGAAACAAAAAGTTTTTGTATAATTAACCCAAGGTTAATTTCCAAAATTTTTTTCAAATCACTTTAAGGGTGTTTTTCCATGTTTTCGACACTGTATAAAAATCCAGAACACTTTTTGTGGATTTGTCATCAACCCAAACATTAGTATTCAAAACATTATCCTTCACGTTGGTTTAACACATTACAAAATTTGTTTTTAAAAGCCGACTCTTTTTATGTTTCTTTTTTTTTCTTATACTTTTTTTTAAATTACCTTTACGTTTGATTTATTTTTATTAACCGTTAAATGCGTTGATGTATTTAAAAAGAGCTCTTGATGTTGACAAATAAATTTCCTGAAATTAACTGTGAGCCGAGAGTAATTCATGAATGGCTTTTATATAATTTCATTGGGTATGAGTAAGAACTGTTTAATTAAGAGAGTCTGACGACGAACACAAGCTTAAATTCTCTTATAAATGTGGGCTCTTTACTAAAAATAATATTGTTGGAGTATTTCAAATACTGTAGATAATATTGTTGATACCCAACAAGACTATACTTTGAAGGTATAATAATTTTGATTGGACATAAAATTTGGTAATACGTCGAAATCTTGGTCTTGTACCCTTCATATATTATAGCGATCATTACATCTATCTACCTATGTATACACCCATCGGTTGATCTCAGTTAATTTATAATTAACCTACATGTCACAATTACGGTCCGATACTTACCAAATTTGGTATGGAGTTAGGGTCAGAATAGAAGTCTATCGCTTCTGAAGGAACGGACTAAAAACATGATTTTTTTTCAGATTCAGTACTATTCATATAATTTAGTACACATTTGCGAAGCCACCTGTATATCTGAATCCCTCTCAACAACAAATACCAACAGTGACATCCATCTCAAACTTCAGCTCTTTAACTTCCCCCATTATCAAAATTAGTTTAATTTAAACCAATTTCATATTTCAACCACAGACCCCAGTAGTGACATCTACATCAAATTTCAGAATTACAGCTCTTTTCTTTCACACAATACCAAATAAAGAAAAACTTAGCGCTTTTCGTACAATTATAGTACA